ATTGTACCATCATCTTTTCTTATTCCAGCAGCCAAGGAACTGTCAATATTGTTGGACGCCATATTTTAACATTATATGTGCATATTAAGATCGCAAGTTACCAAATGGCTGACTATTTTTAGTACAAAATAATAAGAAAAATAACCATCAAAACACCTATTTATGTGTATGTTAACACCAGTATGATTAAACCACTTGATAAGTACATACGTGCAAGTTTTAAATGTTAGGGAATATCTTCTAGTAAGAATACCAAATGATAAGACATAGTTTTAGACTGTTCATTAGTTCATTAACTTCATTAGTCTTTAATTTCTCATCTGAGAAAATACTGTAAGCAAGAATAACAAGTGATAACTCCGCCAAATACCTCTTCAAACTATTTCCTGTGGGATCACAGTTGACTAGATTTTGTGATACAATATAACAAGTAGTGTAACCGTCAAACACTTCTTTACCTGCAAGTTAACACCGACATTTGATTAGCACATACTTGCAAGCTGGTAATATTAGAGAGTATCGTCTATTTAGCATAACAAATTATACTTTCAGCAGACATAGTTTAGACTGTTGCCATTGTGTTACCTTATTAGTCTTTAAATTCTCAATATAGAAAATAATGTGAGCAAATATAACAAGTGATAACTCCAACCTTTACATCTTTAAACTCTTTTCCAATGAAATTATTGATCTAATAATATGAAGACCGTTACTTTTCGGGGAAAGTGACTTTACATCTCAGACAAGCACGTCTTTAGTCTGCGTCCTCCTGCCAATCATTTTTAGAATGAGCTTAAGTTTATCTACATCATGTACGGTCGCGTTGGCCAGATTTGCTTTTTCGAGCAGTTAAATTCTAAAATCAGAATAAAAGGGGCATTTCGTCCTCGACACATGAATGGTGACCGAATTTACAGACTCTATTTTGCAGCGGTACAGATGGCCTACATATTTAGTCATACGATATCATTTCACAATAACATTTGTGCTAAAACTCCAGCTTGGCAATCAGTATGTAATCCTCTGTTCTCCAGTTAGGACTGGTCCATTCCTCAGTAGGTGTACTCAGTCTTAATTAATCCCCTTCTGGCTGTGAATATAGAGGTGTGTGACAAATGTGACGTGTAACTAATGGGAGATCTCTAAATCGGCAAGAAGATAGAATAAAACTGCGCTCTGATTTCAAAATTTCAAGATTTGTTACCGTCTTTAAATGTGAATTAGCATTTAGAATTGAATTTAAATCGTAGCATTTTACGAAATAATACCTATTTTGCCTTACCGTACTGTTTAAGGGACACGTAAGAAAGAAGAAGTGCATCTTCCGTATGAAAGCCACAACAACATCTCGGGCTGTCGGATATAAATCAGGCAAATTTGTCGATGTTAAGATCACTGCAGCCAAGCCTGAGACGGGAGTGTATAACCTGACAAAATCTTGATCCATAATTTACATCAAAGTATATACCATTCCTATCATTGCTTTTTATAAAACTTTTAAAACTTCCAATGCTACTGGCATTGGTGTTTGCAATAGGTAGTGAGTTCCAAATATTAACTGTATCTGGAATGAATGATTTGGCATAATTATTTGTTTTACATTTTATGTTTTGCAGCTGTTTCTTAAATTATAATCACTTGCATCCGACACTCTATTTGGAACTTAGGATGAGAGATAGTCCAGTACTAGATTGTTAACCATTTATAAAAGATATTTAACTTTTGAAAATGCCTTCTTTCTTCTAATGACGTAAGATTTGTTTCTTTATAAAGTTTACCGTGACTTGTGCCACGAACAGCCCCACAAATAGTTCTGAGTGCATCTAGATTCAGTTTTTCAAGTAGTGACGCCTGTTCTTTTGTGCAGCTGTCCCATATGTGGCAACAATAATCATATATCGGTAATATGAAAGATTTATACATAGTTTCCAGTGTTTTGTTCTATTTAAACGATACTTGAAACTCCTGAGACAGTGAATCATTGGACTGACTCTCTTGACTAGGCTATCAATGTGATCGTTCCTCATACAATCTTCTTAGAGAGTAAGTCCTAGATGTTTATGAGAATGAACTTCCTGAAGAGTAGTGTTGCTCATTTTCAAAACTGGTTTTACATTAGGAATAATCTTCCGGGACAATTGGACAGATACTTTTTTATTAGGGTTGAAATTGACCTGCCAGTTTTCTGCCCAGGAGGAAATTCTACTTAGATCGTTATTCAGGCAGTGTGCTACTGTATTCGGATCATTTTCCACGACATATAGGGATGTGTCATCGGCAAACAATCATCATATTACTATCAATATTGTCTATAATGTCGTTTATGAAAATTAGAAACAGTAGCGGTCCTAAAACTGACCCTTGTGGAACATCGGCCGTAACTGGTCGTAAGTCTGAACTATAACCATTGATAACGACCCGTTGACATCTATGTTTTAGGTAGCTTTCAAACCATCTCAATAATTTCCTTCAATACCATAGGATTTGACTTAATTGATAATGCCTTTATGCCAAACTTTATCAAAGGCCTTACTAATGTCGCAAAAGACTGCTCTGATTTCTTTGCCTTTATCCAATTCTCTGGCAATAAAATCATATAGGTAAGTCAGCTGGTTAGCGGTACAATCTCCTGGCCTGAAACCTGATTGAAGATTTGTAAGCAAATTATTATCTCTTAAGTAATTAAAAACATATTTGAAAACGCATTTTTCGAATATGTTAGCCACACAACACGTGAGAGCTATAGGTCTATAATTACTACATTCATTAATATTACCTTTCTTATAAATAGGTCCTACAGATGCTTCTTCCCAACTTACCAGAAAAGTAAACTTGCCAAGGGATACATTAAACAATTTAGCCAGTGGATATGATATCGCTGAAGCACTTAATTTCAAAAACATATTGCCGATACCTTCTGTTTTAAGCTGAATAAAAGGGAGAATTTTATCAGGATATTTAACAGATGCCTGGTCAGAAAAATATTTGTTCATCACATTTGCAATATCTCTTGTATCATCATAAGGTGTTTCGTGGTAATTGATGGGAGGAAATTTTGTATTACTGATGCCCCTTAAATAGTTTTTAACTAGCCGCCACCATACTTTTTCACTATAAGCAATGAAAATTGCGTCTTATATCAACTGCTTTGTCGCTGGAATCAGTCATATCATTCCGACGTAACAGTCATCATATGAAGGCATATCCGGAGATATCCGGCGTTCCTGGGATCAGAAGGACTCGTCATAAAAAACAGCCTCCTAAGAAGATGTTTGTCCCCCTCCAGGAAGTAGTCGAGTCGAATGTACGACAAGCGTCAGTCTTCTCAGGAATCTTTTCGTCATTCCGACTACAAAAAAACGAGGATCCCAACACCGGGGCAGATCCAGTGTCAGATGTGAACACAGATTCGGACTTCATTGACACCCACTCGACTTTATAGACGCTTTCGACTTGGTTATGTCTGTGGACTGGGAATTACGCCTACTGTCTTTCAACGTAATGCCGACTACGGGGCCAGTGGGAGTGCATCTTCTGTCATATGCTGAAAATCGGAAGCAGATTACCGCTGGATTCTAGACGTCGTGGCTCACAGATATAAACTGCATTTCAAGAAACATCCTATCGTGAAATCTCAAGCCGCCAGACGCAGAATTCATCAAGTTGGAGCCAATCTAGCAACAGCAGATCTGGCCGTCAGGAAGCTACTAACAAGTGGAGACCAACAAGACCAAAGTATTTTATTCTCTGGTATTCCTAGTTCCGAAAAAGAATTCGACCAACGTGAGATCGATAATCGACCTAAAGATCCTCAACAAGAAAAACCTGGTACCTCTGCCAAAGTTCCAGATTGAATCCATACGGAGGTTCCGGTCGACTTTGCCTGTCTTCACGTCCCGATACACCCATCTTCCAGGAAATACCTGCGCTTCGCAGTCAATGGTCGACATAACGAGTTCCAGGACTAACCATCGCGATATCAATAGCCCCTTGGGTATTTACCAGGATTACAGTGCCAGTCATCAGGTTTGCCCACCTCAAGCTAGTACGAATCCATGTGTACCTGGACAATTTCCTGGCTGCAGACCAAGAGGAAACTCAGTTACACCAGAACATGCAATTTCTGGTCCAGCTTATGACCTACCTAGGATTCCTAGTCAATCACTCCAAGTCTGAGACCACGCCGGTTCAATACATCATATACATCGGAGCGCGTTTCCAACTGCACAAGGGATATCTATGTCCACCAGAAGATCGATTTGTCAAGACTATTACGATGATTCAGTCCGTATCAAGTCAACCCAGCAGGTCTCTAAGCTGGTGGAAGGCAATTTAAGTGAGTGTGAGTGAGTGAGTGAGCCACTTTTAACAGTATTCCAGTCATATCGCGCCATGTCAGCTTAATGTGGGAGGAAAGGTCTCAGACATTTACCACTTCGGTGAAACCCACGAGCACGGGTATGTTGCTGACAAACCTAGAAACATAATCGGGGCGAGCCGGGATTCGAGTCCACCATCAAAGGTTTCTGGGATGCCTAAGGAACGCAAGTCTGCACAGCGAATCGCTGCGCCTTAGACAACTCGGCCACCAGTGCCCCCCAAGGCAACTTAACGTCTCTACACGATATGACCTTCAGAGGAAGGTGGATGTTACCTCTCAACCCATTCTTGCCGTAAAAGGCGACGGTGCTTGTAGTAAGAGGCAACTTATGGGACCGGGTGGTCAGGCTCCGTGACTTGGTTGATGCATGTCATTGTATCCCAATTGCGTGGATCGATGCTCAGGTCAATCACCAGACGCGATTATTTACAGACCGCCGTCATATAGATTGAATATTGCTGAGTGTGGCGCTAAACAACAAACAAATAAAAACCTCCCAACTTAGTACAGGACCTGCATTGGTGGACTCACAGAGAGCACATGATGAGCGGCATTCCTCTGACTTCTCTGACGTCCGAGCACCATTTGTATACAGATGTGTCAGATTCGGTATTGGGAGATGGCAGATCTCATGTTACAGGGATCTCGGAGCACTGGAGAGAGGACCCATATCAACTGCAAGGAAATGAAGGCCATCTATTACGCCATCCTGGCATGTAAGATACGTCTCTCACGTCTTACATCCAGAATAGAGTGGGAACCAGATCCAGTTCTCTGATGATGGAGACTACAGGATTGTTTTCCTTGGCAGACTCCTTCAGTTGCCGGATGGAAGCGAGACATATCCCCGGGAAGCTGAACATCCTTACTGACAGCCTTTCCCGCCAGGGGAGAATAGTGGCAACAGGATGGATAGCCACGTTATGGGACACACCGCATCTAGATCTATTTGCCACCTGCCATAACCATCAACTTCCGGTTTATGTCAGTCCAGTTCCCAACCAAAGGGCACACCAGATCCATGAGCTATCGATGGATTGGTCGGATCTATTTGCATACGTATTCCAACCATGGTCTCTCCTAGACAAGGTCATCCACAAGGTGGAGGTGACCGATTGCATGATATTCCTGATAGCACCAATCTGGCCCAGCAGGGCGTATTTCCCCACATTATTAAGGAAGAACCTCTCCAGATACCTCGCCGTCAAGCTCTGTTACGACAACCCACGTCCGTCATTTTCCACAACAATCTGCCCAGCCTACATCTTACTGCCTGGAAGTTATCACGCAAAAGATGCAGACATCCGGGTACTCTGAGCTTACCTCGGAAGCGGTGGCAAGATAATGGAGACCTTCATCCTCCCTAATATATGACAACAGATGGGATAAGCTCGTCCAGTGGAGAAGACGACAAGGGATCATAACTTATACTATATCCATCCATATGGTAGCAGATTTTCTACTACATCTACATCCCGACACGGGACGATAGAAGATTACAGATCGGATCTTCACTCTGTACTTCAACATGATGGACTCTCATTTGGAAACCATTCCATTCTAAACAGACTACTGAGATTCTCTCTACCAGAAGATGTTCGCACACCTCGTATCTTCCCCAAGTGGAATCTATCTGTTGTATTATCAGCACTTTTAACGGAACCTTACGAGCCCATGGCTAAGGCCACCTTACTGCGACTTTATAGACGCTTTCGACCTGGTTATGTCTATGGACTGCAATTTAAGCCTTTATCCAGGAAAGCATCCTTCCTTCTGGGCATGGTGACAGGAGCAAGAGTTTCAGAACTCCGTGCCTCAATCACTCTTAAATCGCTCCCAGATTTAGTACCAAAAATCAATCTTCCACCATGGGGCCAGATTACCCAGACAGACTTTTATCTCCCATCAGAGCTCTCATGTTCTATCTCTCAGATACAGACCCACATAGACGCAATCGAAGGAGACTGATATAAATCCTGCAAGCCTTATTCCATCAAGGACGTCACCAAGGCTTCAATAGCGGGCTGCCTTAAGGCTACCGTTGCAGCGAGTTATACGCAGGCACAGAACTCCACCCAACCACTTGGATCCTGTTCACTTAGAGATTAGAGATAAGAGCCCTAGCCACGCGTCTTGCTTCATGGCTTCATGGTCAAGTAGTGTCTAGCTGTCAGCGGGCCTCACAAAACACCTTCACCAGTTTTTACTTGCGTGACGTGCAACCAGACCAAGAGCCCATGGGGGGGGGGGGGGAGGGGGCTACAAACTATCATCAATCAATAGTTTTCCCCTTCTAGGGGGGGGGGGGGGGGGGGGGGGGGAGGATCCGACACCAGCATCATCAAAGGACCCTTGATTGTCCTGTCTATTGGGTGTAGGGTGGATTAGGAGCACCTTGAGTATCAACTGCCGGAAGTGACTGGAAGCGACGTCAGAACCGGAAGCGACGTCAGAACCGGAAGTGATCATGATCATGATCGGTCACTTCCGGCAGTTGACGTCAGCACCGGACATAGCAGTACAAGGTCCATCTAATCAGGAAATGACGTCTTTTGGTTGTGATAGAACATAAGAGACGTCATTATGAAATAAAAGGGAAGTGACAAACCGGAAGTGACGTCAGCACCGGGAGTCACGTCAGCACCGATAATATTGTCACAAATCCAAATTTAGTAAGAAAGGACGTCATTGTGTAGAAATAGACCAGAAATGACATCATTATTACTACCAAGATCAATCAATTCAGTTTATTCATATATAACTGTGAGGCCACAGGCCCATAGTACAGAATACATGACAATGTGGAAGCAGTTAAAAATGTAACAAGGATTCATTTCCTAATAACATGGCATGATATATAAAGAGAAATAGATTTTGTATAGCCGTTTTGCTCACATGCGATAGTTTAGAGATAAACTTGTATTTATTTGGATGTACATGGAACTTGTGTTCACTATATTATTTCCTGAATTATCATATTTACAACATACAAGTAAAAAGTGAAATTCATCTTCGACAACATTTAAAGAACATTGTCCACATAATATTAAACATTTTGGTATTTGTTTGTGCCTGCCATCTTCAACCTTTAGTGAATGAGTGAGTTAGGTTTAACGCCGCTTTTAACATTATTCCAGTTATATCGCGGCGTGTCAGCTTAATGTGGGAGGAAAGCCCGAAGTGATGCAGGTCTCAGACGTTTACCACTTCGGTGAAACCCACGACCACGGGTATGGCGCTGACAAACCTAGAAACATAATCGGGGCGAACCGGGATTCGAACCCACAATCATAGGTTTCTGGCGTGCCAAAGGGACGCAACTCTGCACAGCGAATCGCGGCGCCTTAGACGACTGAGCCACCCGTGCCCCCTCTTCAACCTTTAACCTATGTGAGTTGTGTTAATGATATTTTGCATTTTATTATATTTATATCAGTTAAATAATTTTCTCCTCATATTGGCATTTTAAAATATCTATAATATTCGCATTTGCTAGAAACATCTACAGTAGATCTCCATGTTTGAAAGTACATGTCAAAAAGCATCCGCCTGATTTTCGATATGAACATGGCATGCTTTTCGAAGAAACATTGGTTGTCCTAGATGCAACCGTACCCACATTTATACTGTAGACATTTAACATTGTATGCCCGATTTTGATCTCCATTCTTTTCATACGAAAGCATAAAATTATAACAATTCTTTTGGTAATCTACTTTCTAGCATTTTTTGTAATTTTAACCAATATCTTATGATTTTTATGTAGTGATATATACTACCTAAAGGAAGTTAGGGAACACTGATATGGATTTTAATATTTTAAATGAATTTGAATGGTCGGTCCATGATGACCTTTGTGGAAGCAACCATTTTCCAACGATACTTACAACTATTAATCCATCGGACGAACCACCTTCAACAAGGTGGAACTTTACAAAGGCCAATTGGTCTTTATTCCAAACACTTTGTTCTGAAAAACTAAAACCCGACAGTTTCAGGAATGTTCCTGATCCTATACAACTTTTTTCCGATATATTAAATGCTATTGGAGACGAAAGCATTCCTAAGTCCTCTGCAAACCCTCATATGCGTAAACAATGGTTTGATAATGATTGTAAACAAGCTAGAAGAAATAGGAGGAAAGCTGAGAAATATTTCCGCCGACATCCAACTGTCCACAACTTGAATAACGTTAAAATCACAGGCACCAAACCGAGACATACCTTTAAGCAGAATAAACGTCAATCCTAGAGGAACTATGTATCCAAAAATTAATTCCCGCACACCCATGTCCAAGGTGTGGAACATGATTCTAAAGATTAAGGGAAAAGGATCCAAATCTGGAGTTCACCATCCCTTTTTACTACTAAATCCGAAATTGCCAACAACCTTGGTGACACTTTGGCAAACCATTCCTCATCATCAAACTATAATCCTCAATTTCAGAGATTTCAAAAACAGCAGGAGAAGAAAAAAGGAAATTTTAACTCTAATAATGGTGAGGACTATAACAAAACATTTTCACTCCATGAATTATATACTGCCCGAGGACAATCTCATGACACTGCAGCAGGAGCCGACAACATCCATAACAGCTCCTGAAACACTTGCCCGATTCATGTTTGGAAACGTTACTTAATATATTTGATGAAATATGGACAACCGGAAATTTCCCTCCTTCGTGGCATAATGCTATTATTATTCCTATTCCAAAGCCTGGACGGAATCGTACAGATCCATCCAACTACCGTCCAATATCATTAACTAGCTGTTTTTGTAAAACCATGGAGCGAATGGTCAACAATCGATTAGTCTGGTACCTGGAGACAAATAACCTCCTGAGTGACATCCAGTGTGGTTTCCGAAAAAACAGAAGTACCATTGACCATTTGGTGCGTTTAGAATCATTCATTAAAAATTCCATTGTCAACAAACAACACACTGTATCAATCTTTTTCGATTTTTGAGAATGCATATGGTACAAAGTGGAAACATGGTATTTTAAAAGATTTGCATGAATTTGGATTGAGGGGTAGATTATCTAAGTTCATATCTCATTTTTTAAACAAAAAACGAGTGGGCTGTAACTTGTCTGATCATTTTGATCTAGATCAGGGCGTCCCTCAAGAAAGCATACTATCAGTCACTCTTTTCAGCATCAAAATTAATAGTCTCACTAAAGTATTAAACAATAGCGTTGATGGTTCACTTTTTGTGGACGATTTTAACATTTCTTGTCGTGGTAAGAATATGAATACAACAGAAAGACAGCTACAGCTCTGTCTTAACAAAATTCAAAAATGGGCGAACGAAAACGGCTTCAAATTTTCTAAATCTAAAACAAACTGCATTCACTTTTGTCGTAAATACAAACCTCACAAGGATCCAGATTAATTTTTAGATGGTACTCCTATCAAGGTAGTAGAGGAGGCCAAATTCCTAAGCCTCATATTAGATCGTCATCTCACATTCTTACCACATATTAAATATCTCAAGGCAAAGTGCCGGAAGGCTCCAGACTTGTTAAAAGTCGTTTTAAATTCTCAGTGGGAAGGGGAGCAGACCACCCTCTTTCACTTGTACAGATCGTTAATATGCTCCAAACTAGACTATGGTTCCATTGTCTATAGTGGCGCCCCAGCAAAAGCAATTTAGAAAAAAATTGGACTCTATACACCATCAAGGTCTAAGACTCTGTCTTGGAGCTTTTAGGACCTCCCCTGCGGACAGTTTGTATGTGGAGGCAGACGAACCTTCACTCGAACTGCGCCGCATTAAACTTTCTCTGCAATACATCACTAAATTGCACTCAAATAAATCTTATCCAGCATACAATTGTGTTTTCCACCCTCAGTATGAAAACCTGTTTCAAAATCTATCAAACCTGGTTCCACCACTTGGAATCAGAATTCAACCACACATCACTGCAGCTAAAACAGATCCAAATATTATATCACCTTACCGTCTTCTGTCTTCTCCTCCCTTGCAGATGGCGAAGCCAGAAGTAGACCTCACTCTTACCTATCTAAAAAAGTCGGATACCAATCCTTTGGTATATCAACAATCATATAACCAATTACGCTCCAAATATAATTCTCACAGGTCCAGACGGGTCCAAGGATGGTGGCAAAGTCGCAAGTGATTCTCTGATTCGTTATCTTGCCTTCAGGCACTTAAAAGTGTCTCACCATTGCACCCTATTATCCTTGGCATTTTAGGACTCTTTAA